AAAAAAAAAAATAGATTTCTCATACTAATCCTACATAAATAGTGCCTTAATAACCATTTAACATAGACTTAGTTTTAATATACATACCTAAAGAATACAACTCACCGGAACACAACGAGACGGCTTTACTATAGATCCCACGATCTCATTTACAAGACCAAAATAAATTCATTTTATCTTAAACATAATCGTTTCCTATTTCGTATCGATTACGCAATTCCTCACTAACTGTAGACGTTGTTAATTATACGAAGGATATTTAGAACCAGTTCGTAATGTGCTTGTCGGGCCATATCCGTTCCTAGGCCGGCCTTTGTCGTCCTTTTGCGGGGGTCGAACTGGCCCCACGCGGAATGCAGCTGACTCACGACTGGTGGGCCGTTTGAGGCCTAAGTTTGTAGAACAAAACGTATTTGTGTCGTAACCGAAGATAGCAAGTCAAACTGGATTGTGATTAATTTTATTGGAGAATGTCAAATACAATATTTAGATTTTGTATAAACAAGCGATTGATCTGATTCACGTTGATATTTGTTTTTGTGCATTGTTAATGCGAATGTTTGAATGTATGGACGGATGGATGATTGTTAGAAAATCTATAGAACGGTTCAACGGATCTTGATGAAATTTAGGACATATGTAGAACATAATCTGGAAGAATGTATAGGCTAACTAAGTTACTTACTAAGGTTTTTAATACCGCGCGAACATATTCACGGGAGACAGCTAGTCGTCAATAAATATTTTTAATGAAAACAGCTATACTTAAGTATTAGGAATTTGTAAAACAATGAGTTGTATTTCTGAACATTTGCTGCGTAGAAAATCTGGTATTGTGTTAATGTATTTGCATTCTTTTACTCCAGAATTACTGTAACTTGTGGATACATTTAAAGCATTTTAGCACAGGGTAAGGCAAGTAATCAACATTTTAATTATGAGTGAGAATGTAATTTAAGAAGTAATAAGATCTAATGAAAGTTAAAGAGAATTGAACGGACAAGTAGCAGCGAGAAAGTGACGAATGTGTACTGATGTCGAACAAAGATTAACTTCATTAGTAGACGTATGGGAAATTGACGCGTCAAAAGTACTGCCTAAGGGTCCTTTCACACACACCGAGGCTGGCAGCAGAACAGATGACTGAAACAATTTTTTTTTACTTTGAACATATTTTTATCCAGAGTTAGCTAAAAAAAGACATGAAATTAAATCTTGTTTTAATCTTATAAAGCTCCATATTATTTATAATAAAAATCTGCTCAGTTGTCGTGAACGGACCCTAATAATACTTTAACTTTTTTATTGGAACTGTGAGTCGATATTTAGTTATTTAATTGCTTATAGAGTCCTTTAGTGTAGATTTCTTATAGTAAATCTAGAATCTACACTATGAGAGCTACTTAGTGTTCATTTGACGACTATCTATATGCAAAAATATTATTTACCTTATCTATTATTTACTAGTTTCGCAATTCTATATAAAACCCAGAACTGTTAGTACAAAACGCAAGCACATAAGTTTGAAGTGCTTAGTTAGTACTTAAAGCGGTTAATGCTTAGCTTAGCTGGAGAAAGGCCTAGGCTGGACACAGGGCGGCTCAGGTCGTTCACACCGCATACCGCAAATGCCTGGATCCGGTCTTTCATGCTTTATCCCGGTTTCATTGACTTAGAGTCGAGGTGGAGCCACAGTGAGAGCGAACTTTTGTAACAATAATATTGTGGTTTAATAAAGTTAGTAACAAGACTTGGTAGCGAAACAATCTTAGGAGTAAATGTAATTAAAAAAGTAGAATCTCAAACTTTCTATTTTAATTTGTATAACATTTGAATTTTTAAAAATAAAGGCTCTTATTTCGTTTAAATCAAAGAGAATTTGATGTTTAAGTAAACCTGGTATATTATTGCATGATGGTAACATCTATGATATTAAAATTGACTTAAATCTACTACCAATTTTAGCAAACGTCCGCTGAAATGGCAACCCCACACTAGATGTACACAAATAGCTCGTGCAACGGGCAGACAGGAAGCACTTTGAAGCACACAGTCGCAAGTGACCAGTCTAAGCGTGTTGGGATAGGCAGGGCAACAAAATGTGCTTATCGGTGCAGTTAAATTAAACGAACTTCCTAGTCTCAGATAACTTTATGGAAAACTAGCTGTCACCCGCGACTCCGTCCGCGGGGAATTAAATAAAAACATAATAATACGCTACTATGTGTTCTTCCAGACTTTGTTATATATCTATGCCAAATTTCACCGAGATCCATTCAGTCGTTTTGGAGATACCTTCAAACATCTACCTAAACATTCACATTCATAATATTAGTAAGATACGTGATTGATTAATACAAGTTTGCTGTAAATATTCTTGGTTGTATAACGTATAACTTTTTTATTTTAAATTAAATATAACTAATCGTTCCAAAGACTTAAACTTTTCATATAATAATAGAGACCTCTGAATACTTTGTAACAAACTAGGGGCGTTCTATAATCAATATATTTAACTTAACGATCTTTTTAAATCAACACTAACAGCATGTTCAATACGGGCTCTAATCACATCGTGGCTTTCATTTGCTTTGTTATCAGCGCTCGTTATCGCACCATCAGCAATTATTTTGTCAGCTCTGCCGCCTCCCAAATACTTTCACACTTGTATATTGAGGTCACATTCAATTTATGCCAACAACTACTATTACGTGTTAGTAATGTAGAGACTAAGAATATTTAACAGTGGTAGAGCCCGCTTTAACATCTTCGCATGAATTGTCCCGGCTCGCCCTGTGAAATACCACGACCGCACAGAAGATAGGCGTGAAATGGTGCAATTCCGCGTTTCGTTTGATGAGTGTGCGTCCTGGAGGCCTAATTTAGTCCTCTTTCCCTTTCCACCCTTTTCCTTATAAGGAAAGGATGGGAAGTGGAAGTGGACTTTCCGGATGAGAGGATGCATGGGAAGGGAAAATATTTTCTTTCTGTGCATCCTCTCCTCCGTCGATTAAAGGTAGGAAACGCATATGCAATTGCGTATGTCTATGGGCACGTGGCCGCTCGCTCGTTTGCCACCTTATAAAATAAAAAAAAATAAAAAATCCTAGTAATTTCCATAGCTATTGGTAGTGAAGGGAAAGCAAAGTTTATGATTTATTCTATTAACTGATAATTGTCATCACATATTTATTGTGTTTGTAGAAATATAGTTTACGCTTCAAATAAGATAAAGAAAAAACATACAGACGAATTGAGAATCTCCTCCTTTTTGAAGTTGATTATAAACAAGAGTAATTAGTGTGGAAAACATTTTTTGTTGTAATTATTCATTATTGGTATAAAAAATTGAGCTGTAAAAGGATTTATTGTTAAATCATAAAAAAAAAATATTTGTTTCCGATTTAAATAAAACGTCCAATAAAATTGTCATGGGAATTGAATCTGTGAATTCACTTTCAAAAGTAAATTTGGCAAACCACAATCAGTTTTTTGTTGTGTATACACTTAGGTACACAATTCTCTTATACAAGTTTTTACTTTCGTTCGCTCTGTTGATTTGTTTTCATTATCAAGCTGTTTGTTAAGTTTTTTATTGCGAATATTTTTTTGCGTGTCGAAATTTGTTTTACTAACTCGATAGATTAACAATGTTTTTTATTACTTAATTGAAATGTAGGCAATCGTTTACTCGTTATACTGAGTTTAGTTATGAAGAAGTAATGAAATTAACAGAGGAGGCGACGCACAGAAAGAAGATATTCCCAACCTATGGGTCTCCTTCCCCGCGAAAAACTTTTCTTCTGTTCATCCTTACCTAGTGCAAAAAGGGTGGCAAAGGAAAGCGGACTAAAATTAGGCCTCCGGCATGAAACGCAGCGTTGTTTCCATTTTATGCCTGTCTTCTGTTTTCTTGGTACTTCACCGGGCGAGCCAACACATTGTTGCAAAAGATGTTTATTACGGGCTCCAGCAATAGCGAAATTTATCCAAAACTCTCTAGCATTTCCAATGTTACGAGAACATGACTGTGGAACCACAGTGTAAAAGACTACGATCATTTTAGCATACCTGGGATCTTTTTTCTCACAAGATTGTAAACAAGCTAGTGAAAATTGCATTGTATCAGTCCATTGAACCGTCAGTTGGTCAACGCGGCTTCGCTGACTTGCTGGGAACGCGGCTGTTTTATAGGATTGCATTACTGCAACGACATTGTTGCAGCCTCACAACTTGAGGCGATGCTTCCTAGTCTTGTACCGTAATGGAGTACCGAAAAATTATAGTAGATAAAAAACATCTTATTTGGATAGGAAGTATGTTTAAACACGTTTAATTGTGTTTATAATGTGTAAATTTACATGCATAAATTTATTACTATGTTTATTGTTATTACATGAATTTCTTAAAAGCGAAAACAAATAGGCAAAGTTGAATGACTGGTAAAGAATGCAATGCAATAATTTTTTTTATTTCGAAGTGTTGTTTCTAAACAATCGTGTAACCTGGATTTAGGTAAAAGTGCGTAATAAGCGCCATTAGATGTCTTCACTTCGTTTACTATTTGCTCATCGTTCTAAATATCTAATTAAAGAATTCGAAACATATTATAAAGCGTAAAAGTATTGCCTTCTTTCTACAGTAAATTGTGGTATCGTTGATCGTAGCGTATTGTTACTTTGTCAATTTCAATTAGTCATTAATTCAATACGAAAAATATAGTCATTTGGCAATTAAATAATAATATCACAAGGGATAAACATGTGCTTGAAATATACACGGTAAATATTTACATTAAACTTAGTGAAAGCGCCATCTGTTAATATAAATACGAAGTCTTCTTTTATAACTTAACATAGCAATGGAAAGATGGCGCTGTTACATATAACGGCTAATAAAATTGCAACGATTGAACTTTTTAATTTCACTGCTGCATTTTGAGTGGTTTGCTATTTGATATATGTTCTAAAAGCTAGTTAAAAATAAAGTTGGTACAAAAATAGGGAGAAATAAATTTTATTTATCACTACATACATTTATATTAAACTTAACTATTCATTTTGGTATTTTCTGTGATAAATAACATCTCTTGTTTTATAATTGTTACAAATATACAGATCAAAAATAATAGATGATAAAACCCTGGATTGTAATAACAAAAAGTGTGAGCTTTCGCTGTGGAAATAGAAGTACTAAAATTTATTGTTTTTCTTGTTTTTAAACAGTTATAAAGCAGTGCTAACATACAATTAACGACAATAATTATTAAAATTATCTGCTTCACACTGGCTTATTTAAATTACATAGTTCTTTTAAATTAAAATTTACAATTTTTGTAATTTTTCATTTCGTGTCATCAATAAAGTAATTTATTTCCTTATTTTAACATTAAACGTGAAACAGCATTGCTGGGACTTGTTCTCTTCATTCCAGAGAACCATCTTGATGGGGAATTTGCCCTGGAAAATAACAACTATTCATTACAATACTTGTCTAAATAGATTTAATTTTATCTTATTATCAAAATAATGACAATGGTGATGCAACCTGCACATATCTGAGAAGAAATTCAAAGATATATGTGAAGTTAACCAACCCGCACTTGACCAGCGTGGTTGTCTATGGCCTAGTCAACCCTAACTTGGTTTAGGCTCCGACCCCTCGGTGGGGACGTATAATGAGGTGACGATGACCAAAATAATCTTTTATTTATTGTTAAAATTACAAATTATGATAATTGATGCATCTTAATAATACCAAGAACAAATCGCCGACTAATTCTATCATCGGATGTAGCCTTTGATTGATTGCGGACGCAAATTGCTACAATCCCATAACATCCGGTAGTCACTAACAAATCATGTAATAACTCGACCTAACCTCTTGAATTTCTATATCTACTCATTGTCTTTTTACTGTGTACCTAAAGGTTTAAGCGAGATATTAAATATCCTAGTTCCTTCAATAATAATTAGAGTTTGAAATTTAAAGAGGATTTATTACGTATGATTTTTAGTGCTTGAGATTTATCTAGGCAATTTCAATTGGAACATACCGGTAGCATCTTGCCCAGAGTGAAGTGTACGTCGAAGTTCTTCCTCTCTTCTGCCTCTAGGGGACAGTTGACAAGTCCGCATATCTCCTCAGGTGTTTTGATGATAGTGTCATAAGTATTAGTTTTCTTATCATCACTGTATAATGCCAGTTTTATATTGTTTGCGGGGAAATCTGAAAAAAAATTGATGATGTAAAATATTATTTGACTAATTTTTAACATGCAACACTGTTATTTATGTTAATAAAAAATTTTGAATTCGTCTCAAATACGTAATGATATTTGTTTAACTTCTATAGAAATATTCATCGTAAATAATCTTTTATAATAATAGGTCGCAACATAAACAATTATTATCTGTCCTACAACAATAATTACTGTTAGCATAAAAATAGACGTTGTTCTCGCAAACTCGATGAGATTAATGTCAATGAACTCGAATATAAATTAATATTTAAAACAAAATAAAAAACCTAGATTTTCAAATTAAATCAAATCATTCGATTCGAATGTAGATTTAGAATTTTATGCGATAGATGGCGTTGTTTTTAAAATTTAAACAGAACCAAAACATGCGAGAATTGTGCTAATATGTGAATATCTTACGTGGTGTAAAGTCAACATTGACGGAGTAGGCTTTGTCAGGCTTGACGACGCAGAGGCGGGGGCCGCGGGGGCAGGGGTCCACTGCCACGTTGTGGATGCTGCACTGCGAGGTATCCACTGTGACAAAACAAGCAGGAAAATCAACTCTTCCAGCAGGACCGTTACATTTTTAGCAGGAGTTTTACATTAAACTCTATTATAGCAGTATTTTAAATATGTACTCTTCAAACATATTGTTTCTTAGCCTTGAAAATGCACCTAATTAAATAAGACGTTGTTAGCATTTAAAAACTGTAATAATTGTTATTCCAATTTTAAAAATTTTGATGTTAATTTTTTTGCTTTTAATAGATTATAATTCGAAATTTAAATTTAATTCAGTGAGGTTTTGCTTTATTCATTTTAATTATTAAATGCCAGTCGTCTTTATATACTAGTAACGCTTATGTGTTATTCAGCTAATCCAGTATACTCATAACGTATGCCTGTGCCGTCTACACTGGAGAATAATATTTAAGTACTTCAGTTCCATAGCGTTAGTCTTGTTTATAGATGAAACTAGAACTATAAATTAGTAACTTCGATTGATCGACAATTTGGATTATGGTCCATAATTTGAATTAATTATATTTTGTATTGGTTTATTCTTCTTAATTATTGCTATTATTTTTCACCTTTTGTTGAATATTTACTAATTAATAATTGTGGTTGTTAAAATTATATCTCATCCCTTTCCTTTCCTTTGTATGTATAGAATGATGTATCAGTAGCTAGGTCGTTGCTCTTCCTTGTTAAATTAATCTATTATATTAAGTAGTTATGTAAGTAAACTTTGATTGTATCTTCTGAGAGAAACTGTAAACCAAATCTGTGAGAGCATTAGTGGATATCTCGACAACATTTGGGTTAAGGCTAATTGGTACGAGGGGACCAGGCAATTTTACAATCAGCAATTTCAACGACCAAATGCTTAATACAGACCTTTGAGTACATATTGAAATATACAAAGTAATTTAAAGAGTTCTTACCATCTTTGCAGTTCTTTTTAATAACAAAATCGGATTTAACGAAGAGGAAGCACAAGGAGATGATGATGATACGAACGTCCATGTTGAACGAAATACCGCGCGCGACTGCGGTACACCGATCATGTTTGTTATAACAATTGGCCATTATTATTAAACGTTTAGCTTCTTTGATAGGGCTGTGAACTCAGCATCCGTTATGTGGAGAAAAAATAATCTTCCTAGATAAACTAATTTGGGATCCAATTGTTGGTACTATAATTTTTAGGCAGTATTTATGCCGTTTTCGTAAAGTTTAGACATGGATACATATCCCCGCAGCCTCAACTATGATAGACCACTGCTATATCTACTGCTATAATCCCTTACCATTTTAAGATATATCAATTATTCCTACCATCATTTCTATTTCTCTTCTGTTTTAAATACATCTCTCTCAGAAAGACGAGAAAATCCCAAGTCAACTCCAGGTACGACAACTCTATTTTACGACAGAAATAGGGATTTAGGTCATAAAATGTCCGATTGTCCCTTGAGGGCCTCGCAGAAGATAACTCGCACACATGAAATTCTGCTCATGCTCCGCCACTGTCTCTCTCTACATTTTTTTTATAAGAGAAGGGGGCAAACGTGCGGCGGGAACACCGAGGTGATCAACGACACCCATGGACATCTGCAACACCAGAGGAACTGCAGATGCGTTGCCGGCCTTTAAGGAAATGGTATGCTCGCTTCTTGAAGGTCCCTAACATATCGCCTTCTGATGCGTTTGATGTTACTATTGCAATGCTTATACCTAAGAAAATGGCTTAATTGAAAGATCTAGATGAAATCTTTATTCTTAGACACCCCTGAAATCCGGTGCGCGGCGGACGAGCTATGTTTGAACAACTTCGCAATTAATAACTGATAACAATGAGTTAATACTCTTCCTCTGTCGAGCTCAATACATGAGATCAGAGATCGATACCGGGTTCATTGTATCGACATAAGGGTCATAAGCAATTTGTTTAGATACTCTAGTTGTAACATACTATAATTTGTGTTCGTAAGCCTATCATCATGTTAGCTACAAGCTCTTCTATTAATCTATGCTTCAATATTCTATGCCCTACTCTATCTCCGAAATATTAAAGTTTCTTTTTAATTTTTTTTTGGGATTTTTGCCTAATGCCATGCTAATACCATAGTATCTTTCTTTATAGTTTAATGAACGTGCTGGTATAATTGTACCGCCGAGATTAAAGCCGAGTTGGACAAGATATGTATTAAACGAATACAATTTAAAATGAATAATTACTGTCACATAATGGTATGACGAACAATCTTGGGGCTATAAAGAAATTCATTTGTTATTCAACTGTTTATTGCGCATATTTGGTTGTGAAATTGTTATAACACTAGTCTGTTAACAGCCAAATCGGTCATCATTTACAGCTTTACATTAAAGTTGGTTCAGATTCATTTTTTTAGATTCAGCGCCTGCTGATAGAGAGTTTCGCGAGGAAGCAGCACTCCTGCGCCGGATTGGCTTCGTTCCACACACGCCATTTGATAGGGAAGTTACCCTGTAATATTAATCAAGTCTTAAATAATTATGTTACAAACATTTTAAATAAACAAAATAAGTTTATTTAAAATACGTATGTTATTAATCATGTAATGCTTAGAAAAAAAGCTAAAGAACACTTCGAGACAATTGGGGAGATGTCGTGAAATATTCTTATCCCTCCTTCAGGAACCGTGTCCCCAGATAAATGCGAGTAACACGCCAAACTGTAACGCTATAGTCTTAACACTGCGACTTTAGTCATCAGAAGATCGTTAAATATGACAATGGACCATGGCCAGCAAAAGTTCACTAAATTCCAGTGGAAATGATAAAGTTCAGTATTTACGCTGGGCAGTTTCTTGCCGAGCCTGAGCTTGTAGTTGAGTTGCTGGGAGACGCCGGGAGAGACGGGGCACGAGGTGTATAGGCAGCCGTCCGCGTCCCGCAGCTCAGCGAACGGAATGTCCTGGCCGGCATTCACATAGTATACTGCGGTCTTCAATTTATCAGCAGAGAAATCTAGAAGATAAACACAATAATACTGAAATCTACCCTACTTGTTATGTACTTTCTGCATAGAAGGTTCCTTTAGAAAGCCTTTCTGTGACTTTATGTTGATGCCTTTTGTTATTTATCATGTAAGCTCGTAAGCATGTTAGTTAGGGATTATTACTCACTGGGTGTAAAGTCGAATGAGATTGCGTGCTCTTTGCCCTTCTTCAGTCTGCACTCATCACCATTAACACACGGCGTGATTCGGCTTTCTGTGATCGTGCACACATCTTCCGGCACTGGAAACATCAGGTAAAAATATTTATAATAAATATTAGTTGGTTTCTGATATTAAAAAGAGTTTGTATAACATATTGTTACCTCTATTTCGCCAAATATAATGAGAGGGATGACGATATGTTTTATACAGAGATTTTGATATCAGAAACTAACCCTTAATTCGACGAAATTTTCTTTAGCAAAAAAACTGTTATTTTTAGTAAAGTCATACTTACGTAATTTTCTCTTAACTAGTTCAGTAGTTTTTTTTAATTAGTTGTTCGTCACACTGGACACCATCGAATTAAGGGTTAACTTACTTTCCGTCGCCTTAGCCTGTGGTACTTTTGGCCGAAATCCGAACATACATTCATTCATTCATCATTCATCATCAACTCACTATACGTCCCCACAGAGGGGTTCGGAGCCTACCCGAAGTTAAGGGTGATTAGGCCCATAGTCAACCACGGTGGCCAAGTGCGGGTTGCTTGACTTTGTTAAGTTGAATAAGTACTGTGTATTATGAAAATTTTTCGAAATTCCCTCAACCCCCAAGAAAATGACTCCTACCATGATCAACTAGACACATTTATCTTCATATCCTCAAAATTTCATTTCTGTCCATACTATTTGCCCATTGACCTTTACTGATAAATCATTATCTATGATCCCAGGTCACATTTAACGTATTTCTACTAAATTATATGTATATGTTTACATGAATAGTTTTTATCACTAAATATGTTAAAGGTCACACTCGAAATTACGTAAATAGATCTGTAACTAGGAGATTAGTCATTTTTATTGTTAAATTAAAAATAATAAGACTTAAAGTCTTGTCCATTGGTTTGTTGGTTGTTACTTTTTGATTTAAATTGTAGTTTTTAGTAGTTTTAGTAGTTAAATAAAATTGTTCAGTATATAATTTATATATTCCGTTCATCGTTAGCATTTGTATTATATATTTGTAATAAATGAATCCAAACATGTTTTATGTATTAAGTAATGTACAATACGTCTAGTTTTTATTTAAGTAACAAACTTTTGCCCGCGACTTCGTCTGCGCGAATAAATAAATATGTTCCATTTGAAAAATTTAATAGCGATACTAACTTTTCTATTATATTTTCTTAAATTTTCTATTTTAAAAACTATCTCCTGACAATAACAAACACAACAAAAGAATTAGCGAAATCGGTTCAGTCGTTCACGCATGATGCCAAGGGACATCTTTTAGGGATTCATTTATATGTCTAAAGCGTGTCCCAAAATTCAACGATAAACTGTACTTGTGTATAGCCAGATCGATAACTACACGGGGAAGAATACTAGAAAAAAATCCAACTCTTTTTTCAAAAGTGACATTATCTTTTGTAACTTTTCTTATAATTGTTAACCCACCACCATACGATTAGACACTGTGGCTGAAAATACGAAGATATACCTCCAATTTTTTATAGAAGATATCAGAAGTAAGGAAGACTAAGAAGAACGTATATGAAACAATAGAAAGATAAGATAAGATAAGCCTTTATTCGCTGACCAATTTTTTTTTTAAGAAAGATAAAGTAGACGTCAAATCAAGAAGTCTAAAATAATGGTAAAGATAATGAACGTTGGATTGTTGGACCTACTAAAACGATGTCGTGCCTAAATTATGAGTATTAAAAAAAACTTACCATTTTCACATTTATCTATCTTTATAACAGTCGCGGAGGCTGCAGCGAGGAAAGACAGGATTACAATTGTTTTGAACATGTTGACGCGCTACAATCCCACGAGCGAATGCCGGTTGAAGCACTCGCGTCCTGCTTTATACTTATCAACTTTGACCCCAAGCAAGATAAAACAAACGAGCAATGTCTATCAACGTGTTAACAACCGCAAATTAATTAATTATCCATCATTACGAGTATATATTTATTTAATGTAAATAAAATTAAAGTAATTTCACTCTGAATGTTCACAATAACTATTGCAACATTAAAGATTTAGAAAGGAAATGTTTGTATGTCTGTTCCATTGTGGTCGTAGTCTTAATTAGTAATTAAATTGTTTTTCTTAACTAGCTGTTTGAATTTAAAAAAAAAAAGAAAATTATTGGCCTATGTGATCTTCCAGACCATGTTCTACATGTATGCCAAATTGCATCAAGATCCGTTCATCAGTTCTAGAGATTCCATCAATCAAACATCCATATATCGACTCTCCCCTCAATCTTAACATTTACATAAATAAGATTATGGATTTTAAATGAAGGGAAAGTACATCGTATTTTCTTATCTTGCTAATATTATAAATGCGAAAGTTTGATTGTATGGGGGGATGGATGTTTCTTAGAAGGTCTCTTTAGAACGGTTGCTTGGATCTCACTGTAGATAGATGTCATAGATGTAGAACATAGTCTGGAAGAACATATAGACTACTAATTAAGTTTTTTTTAATCCGGGCGAATGGAATCGCGGGCTACAGATAGTTAGTTATATATAAATAAATTACATAATGATGCGATGAATAATACTTAATTATTTATTGTTTAAATAGTGAACAATTTTGATTTGGGTTAATAAATAAAAATCAAATGCAAATTAAAATAAAATTTAATTAAAATTATTTACACTACACTTCCCTACAGGGGGATACAAACAAAATTAACTAAAAAATACGTTGTCTTTTCGTTGCTCGGAGTACATTTTATATAAAATTATGTATTTACATTATATACAAGTTGTTAAGTACATGCCGGATAAACTCTTTGGCAAACCATTGGAATGAAAATGCATATTAAAAATCATAGAAAAGTTATATGCGGTGGTAACTTAACTAAGTACATTTTAAATTTTACTTAGTAAATAGTTCTAGTACATAAAATTACTAGCACCGCGAGTATTTTATATAGTCCATTTCTAGAATCTGGAGTAACTACTCTTATGAAATCTTCTAACTTTTTTCATTAACAACACTCGAAATATACATAGATGAATGTTATAAAAGAGTGTCAGGATCACGCCAAATTGACGTCTGTTGTCTATACCTTCCCTGTCCCTTTGAGTTGTGTTGTGTTGCTTTTCTAACAGAGCGTCGGTGGCTCAGTGGTCAAGCACTTGACTTGCAATCTGCAGGTCCTGGGTTCGAATCCCGCCATGTACCAATATGTCTTTCGATTTCCGATTTGCATATGTACATTTATCCAACGTTCTTACGAAGGAAAACATCGTCATGAAACCTGCACATATCTGAGAAGAAATTCAAAGATATGTGTGAAGTCAACCAACCCGCACTAGGCCAGCGTGGTTGACTATGGCCTAATCACTCCTAACTTATGGAAGGCTCCGAGCCCCTCAGTGGGGACGTGAGCTGATGATAGTATATATTCTTTCTAATATAAGGAATGGAGACATTTTTATTTAGTATATTAGTATTTGTTATTTATGTTATTTATGAAAATATTTAATACATTTGATAGTCACTGTTATGATGTTTTTACAAATAATTAAAGTATGATTATGTATCCTTAATAACCTCGGATTACGCCAAACATCGGGAATACCGTATATTACCTCAATTTTATGATGCAATATTATGAAATAGGAATAAAATTACATGTTTTTCCTTTTTCTATACCACTGAAATCAATATTCGATAATGCTTGATTCGATTTGAATCCACCAAAAAAGTTTAAAAAATACTTCTCTCAGAGAGATGTTTTTAAAACTTTTTAGAGAGATCTCTTTCAACCGCTGTCATGAGATATATGTCAACCCCTGGTGAGATGGCTCTATTTTACGAATGAAATAGGAGTTTCAGTAATAAAATGTCCGTTAGTCATTTGAAGGCCTCGCAGAAGATAACTGTCACTCTCTACATATCACCTTCTGATGCTTTCCCAAGCTTTGCTGTTACTATTGCAACGTTTATGCCTAAGTTTTATCACGGTTTAGCCAATACCATACTCCCTTTCTTTATAGTTTAATGAACGTGCAGGTATAATTGTACCGCCCAGATTAAAGCCAAGTTGGACAAGATTGTAAAAATCAAATCTTCTTTCCATATTAAAGGAAACCCTAAATACAATTTAAAAAAAATATTTAAATATGATAATATATCCTTAATAACCTTGGATTATGCCAAACATCGGGAAAACCCTAAAATTACCTCAATTTTATGTCACAATGAATATATAATATTATGAAATAGGAATAAAATTACATGTTTTTCCTTTTTCTGTGCCGCTGAAATTGAATATTACCCTCTCAGCAATACATCAAGTTTTTTCGATTTATTATGCGATCGTAAAATTTGCTTATATTTGTATAAAATGGATAAAAAATGTAATTTAAAAATTCTGGAGAGAAGAAAAAAATGGTTCAAGGTCGAATATTGATTTGAGCAGTAAATAACTATTGTACATTGTTAACTAAACGATTGCCAGTGTGGTGGTCGTAGTATTGTGGTCGTCACGAGCATGCAGATCCTGGTGGATGCCAGCCTCCTTTAGTATTCTCATTCTGGGCCCGAGAGGCACGCCCAGCGCGCGCAGCTTGTCCTCGCCGACGTAAGGCAGTTCCGCTGCACCTACTTTTTCCTTCTCCAGCAGGGCTGCATATTTCTGTAAAGGATACATATTTTTTACTTTTATGACATTGGGGATAAAAACTGTTTTTAACTTGAGATTCTGTTGTTGGAACACACTGTATAAAGTCATGCTTTGTGAAAAAATAACCGTTTCCTTTATTTCAAACCACTACATTTCATATTATCAATATATTTATGTTGATTTTATATAACTAATGTATCAGAGCCCTACGATAAATTACAAATACTTTATCGTCATAGAATTTATTACATTTTTACCAAAACTTTATTGGTTTATTTACCTCGTATCCAAGTTTTTTGAGGAAGAGTCTCATGAGCGGAGGCTCGTCGCCAAAGAACTTTGTGAGCCGCTTTACTCGGTCCGGGTTGCTAAAGGAGTACGGGTCCAGATGCCGCTGGTGCCCGGACCTGATGTACTGCTGCGATCTGGAATTATATGTAACTTTTAGTCCCTCTCTCCACTTTTAAAACTTAAATCTATACATTCTGCACTGTATCCTGAATTAAATAAAAATAATTAATGTTGATAATATTTAAAAAAAAATGAATGACCAAGAGACATATGAAAAAGCTTTTAAAAAAGATAACAGTTCTAAGTGATGATAAGTACTACTATAAAAATATATGTTTTACTTATGTGTGTAACATAGTAAAGTCGTGCAACTAACTTGTACATGTGCCTGAGGGCGGCGATCTCTGCGCGGATGTTGTCCATCTCCTGCATCACGAGGTGCTGCGTGCGCATCTCGCTGGAGAGGTGCGCCACTGAGCGCGCCAGCGTCACCACGTGTGATTCCAGTCGCTGGAACCTCTTGTTGATGCCCTGAAATTAATGTGTAATTAGTATTGTCCGAAGCATAGAGAAAGTGAGAGTTGTGTGACCCTGTGTGTGTGATAGAATTGGCGAACTGACGAAACTCAATAGTTCGTATCTACCCTTTCGGTTCTAAGGTTTCCGAGGAGATCGGACTACATTTATTGCTTTTAAAAATCTGTTGTCAATATGCTGCTTTACCTTCAGGTCGTGCTTCTTCCTGTGATCGTTGGAGCTGCGTCGCTTGTCGCGCACCGGCCGGCTGCTCACAGAGCTTGACGGCAGCGACGACATGCTGCCGTAACGTCGCTTTGACGACAGTCTGCGTATGAAATAACAATTCTTAAGACTAATAAATTCTAGCTTTGCTAAAGTTATCTTAAATTGGATTATAAAGGGGGTGAAGAGGGGATTTAAATAAGTCTTTTGGGACGTTACCTCGCGTCCCAGGCGGGCGTGTGGGGTCCATGGGCGGCATGCGCGGGTGCGGGGCGGCGCACGCCAAGCAGCTGCAGCACCTCGGCATACATGTTCTCAAGGCCGCGCAGCTGCCGGCGGATGGCGCGCGCGTCGCCGCCGGACGCGTCGCTGTCGGAGCGCGCGCCCAGCAGCGACGACAGGTCTAGGCTGCGTGTCGTTGTCGACGTCACGTCCGTTGTATCCAAGCCGAACACTGGAATTTTTTTTTTTTAATTATATCTATTACAAATTATGGTGCATTGCGCATGCACATGAAACGATGAGGTAAATTTCGGAATTGTTAACGGATTTGTTAACTTACAATGTTTCTTATAATGATGGTCTCGTTTAGAAGAGTGTTTCTTATGTCCGTGCCAGCGTGGGGACTCGCGTCCGCGACGCCTCTCCTCAGGGTACTCTGACGACCGACCCGGGAGACTGAAAATGAAATATTTAAACATTAACTATGCAATTGCTCAGTTGAGATTTTTAAACAATGTTTCATAATAAGAACCATAAAGTCTTGAGGTATTATATATGTATTAACAATTCTTATGGCGCTATTCAAGAATATTGTATCTTGTACCTATTTCTCTTGTGCAAGTCAGAGGAAGGCGATAGGGGCGGCAGAGGTGGCGTCACTGACCCATCCGAGCTCGCGGACGAATCAAGGCGCAAAGCTGACAGCTTGGGCTCAAGTATTTGACGCAGTTCGCATTCCACTAGATCTGCCCACTCGTTCTCACCATCTGGAAACGTGAAAGATAGAATCATATATTTTTATTCTTAGTTTGTTATCAAATTAATTTCATTATTAATTTTCCCATCTAGCAAATGCCTTTTTATCACTGTTTTATATCGGTTGCAGTTTTGACTTACTTGGTACAGTTTGCTGTTGACTTGTGCCTGGTTGAGGTTGGTTTCTTGCATGA